ATGAGTAAGTATCTTATCAATACTGAACCAGTTTTGACTAGCCCTGAATGCTGAGTATGAATGTTGTGTGCATGATGCATGTGGTTATAGATACCTACCATACCTACCTGTGCTGTGAGTGGAATTTAGGGGGTGGGCTCCAGTCTCATTTCAAAATGGCAGAACTTGGTAAAGTTTATTTGTTGATGTTAATTGATTCTTATTAATTTGATTTAGGTATAACTGATTTAAACAATATTTTAGATGAACTGAAGCTTTTTTCTAAGAACAGATGGGAATCCTTTGGTTTAAAGGCTGGTCTCTATCAGCCTACATTGGATAAAATTAAGGCTAAGTACAAAGAAGATATTGAATTGTGCTTTAAAGAATGTCTGTCTTTCTGGTTGAGAAAAGAAGACAAGGTAAATGAGGAGGGGGAACCAACATGGCTGAGACTAGCCAATATAGTGGAGTACACTGGAGACAGAGCCATAGCAGAAGAAATCAAGAAGAACCATAGTTAGCCTTTTTAAGATAAATGAACAAGTTTTTGAAATGCCTTTAGATCCTCATGATACTGATCCTCATGATGCTGATGATTCCAATGTTGAAATTGGAAGTACAACTGGGGCATTTGATAGCTCTAATTCTGACACGATTGAACTGGGTAATAATTTTTGGTCAATGAAAATGTGTACTGTGCCATTTCATTTAATTATACATGTAGTCATTGCCATTAATGATTATGACATGGAAGAAGAGTATGCTGCAATGAATCGGAAATTATCAAAAATATTAACATTTGCTATTAAAGATATATTCAATAAGCAATCTTTGGAAGATATAAAAGCTTATTTAGCAGGACTTCATCGAGAAAGTACAGAAATGATCAAAAGAATCAAGGAAACTGTTGATAAAGTTGATCTAATGGCCTTGCTTAGAAGCTATTTTTCTTTGTCAAATGTTTCTGCATTGAAAGACTTTGTTGAAGATTTGGAGATTGACCATAATTCAAAGGAATTAGCTGATCTCCTGAACAGACAAAATACCTTTTATGAGAATATTTTAGCAAAAGATTTTGCAAAGAAAGCCATTGAAGATCATAAAATGTGCAAGACCGATTCGATTGTTAGTTACTGTCTGATATTATTTGCATGATCATGTATTTTTTTTATCAGATCACTTTCAAAGTTTCATGGAATCAAGATACAGCAACATTAAAGGAGTTTGAGATATTTCTTTCAAGAGCTTTTAAGAGTCATAAAATATACATAAGATTAAGAGTTGTGTGCCAAAGTCTTTTGACCTTTGTATGTTCTATACCAAACTGGCTCTTAGAAGAAATAACAGAATATGTAAATAAAAGGAAAGATCACTTAATATCCGAAGGGGTTGTTGAAGTAACCATTGACAGTGCTATCATTTTTAATGTGGTATGTAAAATATAATCTTTTTATATATAGAATATTATTTTTACTTGAAGGAAGGAGGTTATGCAGCTATAATTTTTTATGAACCAAATGATACAATGACATTTACTGCTGTGCCTTCTAATCAGTTACCTGCTTTATTGAAGGTAAGAAATAAGTTTGAATTAAGCCTTGTGTATTTGTAATGCAGTTTATCAAAGAAAATCATTCCTTTGCTGAAGTTGATGTGATTCATTATTTTCATTTCAAATCATTACATGGTTTCATTGAGTTGAATCTTTTTGAAAAGCCACCAACAGGATGGACTGTTAAACCAGTTGTTAAACCTTGCAGAGTAAGCAGTGTTCGTATTATACATATGTAACTTATTTACTATTAATGTAGTTGTATCAAGATGACATTGATAAATTTAATGGTATTGATTGTTCTGTTCCTCCATGTTGCCTAATGTCAATTTGTGGATTGTTTGATCCTAAAACCAAATCTGTTCTACACTACCCTGTATCTTTGAATGGCATAGAATACCCTGTGACACTGTCTGTTCACAGAGTGGTAAAATCTACCATTCCTACATCACCAAGTATGAATGTATATATAATTACATGTGTTATTGCACTGATGCACTCATAGTTATATCTTATACTGGAATTGTTTATTATGAGAGAAAAGAAGATGATTACTTGGTAGCATTTATAGCTGCAAGGAATTTGAAAAGTCTTGTTAAGGTAAGAAAATGCATGTACATTTTTTATGCTAATTTTTTTAATACAGTATATTGAAGAACAACATCCATTAGCTAACATTGTTAAACTTGTAAATTTTGATTTTAATTCAAATCTTGGTTATATCAAGCTTAACTTTAATGCTACTACTCAAGACAAATCATTGACTCAGTGGACTACTGAACCTCAATCAGGCAAAGTAATTTGGCTATTCTTCATTCAGTAGTTTGATCATACTTTTATAGTTATTTCAAAAGGATGTTGATAATTTTGATGATGCCTTAGATTATCCTCAATCTTGCCTGATATCATTTTATGGAACACCTGATGCTGCACAGTCTATGCAGTATTCCTTATTGATTGAGGGTGTGGCTGATGGTGACACTTTATTTATTGATTTTACACTAAATCCGTCGTTATCAGGTTACACATTATTTTGTGTATGGCTACAATAATTATGTTTTGTTATTTACAGGTGAAGTTTTGTACATTGGATTGGTATATTATGAATGGAAATTAACAGAATACTTAATGACATTTATTGCAGGGAAAAAAGGCACCGAACTAATTCAAGTATAAGTATATGTACATGTAGTATAATATTATTTATTTCTTACAGTATATTGAAGAGTATCATCCACTAGTGGAGATTGATCAAATTTTTACTTTTTCTTTCAGTTCACCTCATGGTTTTATTGAACTTATATTTGATAGTTCACAGGATGATTCTTGTGAAGGATGGACTGTACAACCATTTGTTAAACCATGTAGAGTGAGTAAAACATATAGCATTTCGTTTATCACGTTTTTGCTTTTTATGCTGTAGTTATATCAAGATGACATTGATAGATTTGATGACTCTAATTATCCTTTTCCTCCATCTTGCCTTACATCAGTCCATGGATCATTTGATGCTGTTCCTAAACTACGTTACTCTATACCACTGAAAGGTGTGGTTGGCACAATGGCGATATTTATTGATCTAAAACTTCAGTTGGAAAGTAATAATAGTAAAATTATTTTTCAAAGCATCCATGACTATAATTATTTTGTAGAAGATGTAGCTAAACTCATTAATGAATTGCACAGTATTGAAGCTACTTTTAAAGAAGGTATGAACAGAGCATTAATTATTCATTCTACTATTTGTAATAATAGAGATGAATAAAAAAGATGGAGAGATTGCTGCATCAAAAAAGAAATTGTATGACTCACTTCAGAAACAGTCAATGATAGCAAAAGGTAACTTTAGGTTTTTATTTTAGTAACTATCATAGCAATGCAGAAAAGCAAGAGCTTTCAGAAAGAATGATGACATTAATAAAAGAACAAGAAATACCCAAAAAGCCAGAATCATTGAAGTTATTTGACTGTATGTATGCCTTTCTTATGAAAATGTATGATTGTATTATTACTGTTAATTTGTGTAGATGATGTATCTAAATTAGAAATTGTCCTTCAGCCTATGGAAGATCTTTGGTTTCAGTTGGGACATCAGTTAAATGTGGAGGTATCTTTATTAAGTGACATACAAGAAACAAAAGATACAAAGGAGCAGATGAGATCATTATTGCAACTTTGTTCTGACAAAGGAGTGACAATGATGCAGTTGGAAGGAGCTCTAGAAGCAATGGATCAAAAAAACTTAATACCTGGTATGTGTAACTTATTTGATTTATTGTGTTTACCATTGTTCTAAAGTTTTGCAGGAATTTTCAAAGGAACTTGAAGCATCATTGTCTACTGATGGCAGCAAAAGACTCTTAGAGCTTGGTGAGTAGAGAGATGCTCTATACAGCTAAATTCCATTTTATAATTAGAACTTGAAGAGACTAAAGCTGCTCTTGAAACATGTAAGTCTAAACAACAGGAGCAAGAGGCTGTTGAAGGTGATTTATCAATTGATAAAATCATATTTACATGCAATAGAAATGCTTAAAAATGAGCTGATTTTGAAAGACAGGACCATATCTGAGTTTGCTAAGGAAAAATCTCAGCTATTGGAACTGATAAATCAGCTACAAGATGAAAAGCAAAATGGTATAGTTTAAAGATTTTACACATACATTATGTGCAGTCAACATAATTATGTGCATGTCAGCTTTGATCTCTATTAGGTCCATCAGCTACTATTGATATCAATAAAGTAAAGAAAGTGATCAATGATGTTCTTGTTTCTTATTATGCTACATTCAATTCTTTACCTAAGAGATCTTTAAATTATTTTATTAGTCAGTTGTTGATAGTTAGGCTTGTTGGTACTCAAGGCCTTACAATGGAAGAGGGCATTGACGAGTTCAAGGCTAGTCTTAGTTTTAAAAAGAAGTTACCTCAAGTGCAGGAGCACTGTCAAAAGTTCGTAAACGCATTCAGAAGTGTAGGAGGCATTTATGCTGATACAGCAATAGCTTTAGGTGAGGACTGGATTGAAGCTATTAGAAATGAACTGGGATTTGATTTTAATATTGATACTGTGAGACATTATGGGTTACACTCATATTATGACTAAAACATTGTTGTTAATAAGGTATACATGCATTTATTATCACTATTATTGTTATTATTAGGTGGGTGTGTTGCTAGGTAACTATAATTATTATCTTAGTATGGTATTTCCTGGGTGGGTGTTTTTTTACATTAATTTGGTTTTTAGTATTACATGATCATTATTTGGTTTTTACTGATTTTTGTTATTTTTTTGGTTTGATGATAAAAACTTTCCTTGATACGAGAAAGGATTTTGCAGATATTGATGCTTAACTTATAGTAATAATATTTATATTAATTCTTTCTGTGTATTAGTTTATTTATT